TTCAGCCGACAGACTAAAGGGAAGGCAGCCAGTTAACAGCACTCATCGACAACTTTTTGTCTGATTAAGATTTTACAGACAATCTTATATCACACACACACAACAAAGTTCGAAGCGCGTTTTTTTCTCGCAGCAACGAGACGTGAACCTGGATAGAAAGAGTAATTATTCTTCAAAATTAAAGAATCTAGATATAGAGTTACGCCTTAACAGGAAACAAATTGAACAAGCCAAACGTGTATCGGATGTATACACTACAAACCAAGCCACTGTTTTATGACAGTGGTATCTATGCCCTGCCCTAGAGACGTTCCAATTCAGGTTATTAAACACGTGTGTGTGTGTGTGTGTGTGTGTTATTTTTGCTTCTCGAGATTTTGTTTTTGGTTTGGTTGTTGTTAAGCGCAAAGCTGCACAACGTTATCTGTGGTCTACCCGCCACGGGTATCGAAACCCGATATTTAGCGTCACAAGCCTGCAGACTTACAGCTGAGCCACTGGAGGGGGTGGGGGCTTCTTGAGAGTGTAACAATTATTAATACAAGTTTGAAAAGTCTCAGATTCTTGGCTTTGATTTACACATGTCAATGATCTCTTGTAACAATTATTAATACAAGTTTGAAAAGTCTCAGTTTCTTGGCTTTGATTTACACATGTCAATGATCTCTTGTTTGTATCCTTCTTCTGGATTTCACTTAATTAAAAACTTTCTCTTCGATGTTTATCAAAAACACTTCATATACGACGAGTATGCATTTGTCTTGTTCACGCCCACAGAAAACACAATAGTCCGATGGCCTAACACGATTCGGTATTACCTCATTCCGGTATAAATACGTATAGTAACCGCCTTTATCCTTATGGACAGGGCACAGAGAGTTCACTGTTTATCAGCAACAGCTATTATATATCCCATCCACCTATTTTTATTCGTTCACACTGAACTGACCCTGGTGGCAGATAATTTATCACAGGAACCTTGCTCATCGCAACTAGTAATCCTGGAAATGTATACGTCCCATCTTACTCAACCGACTATTGTTACGGCTGTTGACATGGAAACATAACCTGTGTTATCCATTTGTTGATGACCCAGTTCACGTGACCATAAACTTTGGCCATATAAGGTAGGAATAACAGACGACACGTTAAAGGAAAACATATACGTAGAACAGAGGTGATATTCTGTAACGACTTCGTGGTTAGGGCACTCGACTCGCAATCTACAGTTCGCGGGTTCGAGCCCCCTCACCCATTTCTGACGTGGGTTCATTATAATGTGACGATCAATCTCACTTTTCGTCGTAAAAGAGTAGCCTAAAAGTTGGTGAAAGGTAGCGTTGGCTAGCTGCCTTCCCTTTAGCCTATCAATTTAAAATTGGACATGGCTAACGCAGATAATTCCCGAGTAGCCTTGCGCGAAATTCAGCATACGAACGTTTTATTGTCAAGAGACATTTATTCCAACATTAACTTTTAACTAAAATTAAAAACGATATACATGAAAGGACTTTATGATCCAATTATTAACCAAGAAAGACAAAACTGGTTAAGATAGTTTAAACAAACAAATTTTGGCCAATCATCTACTTTTATTTCTTTTCCGTGAGTTGATAATTTGATTGTGATCCAAACAATAAGCCGACTTAGATGTCCGACAATGATAACAAAAATTTGTTACAACAAAGACAGAGACTGCCTTGCTTTAAAAGGTTAAATATTGTTTGAACGTTATCATGTTGTTTCATATATGGTCAGCAAACATGGAAAACATATTCTACCAGGAGACTCTCCAAGAACTGAAGTTTTCAAACTCACAAGATCACCAGAACTCTCTTCAAACTCACAAGATCACCAGAACTCTCTTCAAACTCACAAGATCACCTGAACTCTCTTCAAACTCACAAGATCACCTGAACTCATCTTCAAACTCACAAGATCACCAGAACTCTCTTCAAACTCACAAGATCACCAGAACTCTCTTCAAACTCACAAGATCACCAGAACTCTACTTCAAACTCACAAGATTACCAGAACTCTCTTTTCAAACTCACAAGATCACCAGAACTCTCTTCAAACTCACAAGATCACCAGAACTCTCTTCAAACTCACAAGATCACCTGAACTCTCTTCAAACTCACAAGATCACCTGAACTC